GCTTTAAGGAGGCCTCTTAACTGTTTCTCTACTCCAGAAGAGAGGCTCAGTGCTACAGGCAGGCGCCTGCACTTTCTGGGCCTGCACGCCACACACACACTCTATCCAAGGCAAGGAGGCAAGTTCTGTATCTTACTCTAGAGGAGGTGCTCAGCTGCAGGCAGGCATGCACACTTGCTGGGCCTGCATGCCACACACACACTTTCCAAGGAAAGGAGGCTGCTCACGAAAACCAGGTGAGGTGGGATAGGCTCCCACTTGCTTTAGTGTTGAGCTGATTTTCGTACTAGGAGTGCGCTTCCCGTTACATGCTCCTAAAGGTAACAAAAGTAACAAAAGAATGGATGTAACAAAGGAAAACATATCCATGCACAACTCTACCATTTATAGAGTGAAAGTCCCATTTACCTGGTACTGGTGACTTAGAGTGGATAACACTTCAATGTAACACCCATAGTTACCACATGGTTTCCATAGATCCTGCTCATTTTAATGCAATTACTTCCACTAGTCACCACTCTGTGATGATACAAAAGTTGAACCCCTACTTGACATAGCTCCCAGGCTCAAAATGCAGTCAGTAAAGCCTTGAGTCCTAGCATGCAATATGTTTCCTGGAGGAACACTACACAGGGAAAGGAGGTAATATTTTCCCCATTGCTTAAGAAGAGCTTTCTGTGAAGCAATGAGGAGGCTTAGCCCCAAACTCCACTACCTTTATCTTGCCTGACAAGCAGGAAGAATGAAGAAGATCAAAAGCAAATGAAAATCAATAGGATTAAGGTAGTGAAATTCCTCTGTCTTGCCACAGGCTGTCACTCTATCTCCGCATACTTTGCAGCTGGACAAGATTTCTCTCTGGAGGAAAATAGATGAAACCAAAGTAAATGGCCAGAGCAGTTCAGATGTTTGCTCCTCCCTTATTTGTTGCTGATTTCTGAAATATAATCCCTCTGAAGATTCATCTCATGATCTAAAGCCATGCACATTTAGTTAAGAAGAGGCGGAAGAAATACTCGTCTTGATAGTGTACATGCTGTGCTTTAGGAAAGTAGCTTTGGTTGGCAGCTGTGTAGGACCAAAAAGGCAAATCTAATGACAGCTATAATATTACAAGGTTTTGAATGTGTGGCCCATTTCTGTTACCTACACAGCTTTGGAAAAGTAATTCTTAAATACACAAACAGTGAAAAATCTATCACCCCATAAGTGTTGCTGGGCCAGGCTGGTACCAAGATAACTTCCACCGAAGTTGACAGATAGAGATATCTCTGAGGGACATTCTCCATGCCTGAAATTATGGCCTTTGCTTTCTCTCTTTTCTAACCTGATAAAAGCTATAGGCTCAGTTAGTATAAGGTGTTGCCCTGACCTCATTTGTTCTGATTTAATTTTTAGTCCTTGACAACTCTCCTTTGTTGGGTGCATCTACACCAGGTATGGGCAAACCTAGGCCCGAAGGCCGGATGCGGCCCCTAGGGCTCTTTTCTCAGGCCCTCCTTTCTCTCACCATTCAGTCCTTCCTTCCATCTCTCTTTCCTTCCTCCTTCCCTCCCTCTTTCTCATTCCCTTCCACCCTTTCATCCTTCCTTCCTCTCTTTACTTCCTCCTTCCCTCCCTCTTTCTCTCTCCCTCCTTCCCTTTCACCCTTTTGTTCTTTGTTTCTTCCCTCCCTCCCTTCTTCCTTTTTGTCTGTCCTTCCTACTCTCTTTCCTCCCTCCCCACCCTCTTTCTCCCTCTCTTCATTCCCTTCCACCCTTTTGTCCTTCCCTCCCTTTTGTCTTCCTTCTTTTTCTCCTTCCCCCGTCTTTCCCTCCCTCTTTCTCCTTCCATCCTTCCCTTTCACCCTTTCACCCTTCCTTTCCTCCCTCTCTCCCTCTTTCTCCTTCCTGCCTTCCCTCCCTTTGTCTTTCCTTCCTTCCCTCTTTCATCCCTCTTTCCCTCTTTCTCCTTCCATCTTTCCCTTCCTCCTGCTTTCCTTCTCTCTTTCCTTCCTCCTTCTCTTCCTTCCATCACCAGGCAGCCAGTCCTCCTAGCAGTGAGTGCTAGCATGCGACCCCTAAGTTAGAAAGTTTGCCCATGTCTGATCTACACTGTAGAATGAATGCAGTCTGGCACCACTTTAAATGCCATGGTTCAATGCTATGGAACACTGAAACTACTTTTACTAGGTCTTTGGCCTTCTCTGCCAAAAAGTGGTGGTCCCTCACCTTGGATTCCATAGCACTGAGCCATAGCAGTTCTAGTGGTGTCAAACTACATTAATCCTGCAGTGTGGATGCACACTTTGAGACTTCAAAAATGCATCAGTGGAAGGTTCATGTATATATGTATATATGTACGTATATTTGTGTGTATTTATGAAGAGCTTCTAACAGTGGCTTCAGGTCCTATATGTGGGAGGGAATTCAGTCCATGAGGTTTGTTCATTCCCTGAAGGTTCCTAAAGTCTTTGAGAGGTTAGGCAACATACAACCATTGTCACCTGCAATCAGCGCCCTCTTTCTTGACTTCCTTGCTATCTTCAATCTTTGACCCTTATCCAAGGGTTGCCATCCTCTTGCATCATTTGTTGCTTGGTGGACAATCCAGACCAATCAGGATATGTTCTGAAGCTGAATTTAGAGGCAGAGGAGTTGGCAAAGAAATGCTCACTCATAGCTTCATTCCCCTCACTTGCCACCTAACACCTAAGCATTAAGAAGAACTTCCTGGTGGTAAGAGCTGTTTGACACAGTGTGGAGGAGTCTCCTTTTAGTAGGCTTTCAAACAGAGGCTGGATGGCCATCTGTCAGGAGTGCTGTGATTGTGTGGCAGAAGAGGGTTGGACCAGATGGCCCTGGTGGTGTCTTCCCACTCTATGATTCTTTAATGTGGAAGGAGCAATTAACTACAAGGAATACCTGCTACAATTAATCTTCTTGTCATCTTTCAACAGAAATAACCCTCGCTGCTGTTTTGTTTATAGCCCTTCAAAAATAGATTTCCCCCTTCTGGATGACCCTGTAGATTAGGCCTGCACAATCTGCAGCCTTCCAGGTGTTTTGCACTTCAGCTCCCAGGATTCCTGGCTATTGGGACAGCTGGCTAGAGCTTCTGGGAGTTGGAGGCCCAAACATCTAGAGGTCTGCAGGTCATGCAAATCTGCTCTAGATCCACTTTGGATCTCCATTTATTTAATTTTAAAAGAATTGGGAAAATCACCCAGATGGTGATTACACATCAAAACACTAATGTACAGTAAGTGCTTCCTTTTGCATACTTTAATGGCAATTTCTTGTCTGATTGCCACAGTTCAAAGATAGCTATGCTCAAACTGCATTAAATGGTTAATGTATATAGGGCCATGGTCTTAACATTAAAAAGAGCAATTGCGGATTTGTAACTCTAGATTACGAATCTGCAACTGCATTGCAGAATGCCAGCCCACACTTGAGTTTTGCAGCAAAGGGTGCACTTCAATTTTCACCTTAGAAAAGACTTGCAGTTTCTAAGCTTTTTTTTTCAAAAAAAAAAAATCTAATTGAGTCACTGCAGTCTCTGGAATTCTTGTATGTTTCCTATTTGATAAGGGTCAGGCTTTAGCATAGCACGTTAACCACCAGCTGCCAGTTTGAAAGGCTGACAGTTTGAAGCCCAGGTTGGGGTAAGCTCCTGGCCTTTAGTCCAGCTTTTGCCTACCTAGCAGTTCAGAAAATAAATGTGAGTAGATAAATCTGTACCGCTTTAAAGCAGGGAAGTATTTAAGGCACCCATAAGGAAATACCCGAAAAATTCCGGTGATTCGATCAAGGAGAAAGTTAACTAACAAAGCTCTTTGGCAAGGAAGATGGAGTGACAGCAGCCTCCTGTGGCTGGAACCAAGCACAGCCTCCACGACACCGAAGATGGGAAAGCCTATATATGCCTCTATCTGTGTACAGTTGTCTGTCTTGTCAGTATATAACGGCATTGAATGTTTGCTGTATATGTGTTCTGTGATCTGCTCTAAGTCCTCTTCAGGGTAAGAAGGGCAAAATATAAATACTGTAAATAAATAAATAATAAGAGGGAACCATTCTAATTAAAATCAAAATGTTTTACCTCTTGTTTAAACTTTAGAAATATAATGTGAAATTAATTGTGCTAAATGCTCTTGTGCTCTGTGCAAAGAAGAAGCTTTGTTCATACAAACATGCTCAAGGTCAGGAGGGATAATAATAATAATAATAATAATAATAATAATAATAATAATAATAATAAAACTTTATTTGCACCCCGCTACCATCTCCTGAGGGACTCGGTGCAGCTTACATGAGGCCGAGCCCACAACACAACAATAAACAATAGCAGCAATAATACAAAAACAATACATAAACTCATAAGCAAAATAAGTCAAAAACAATAACAATAACACAACACATTTAAAAACCTATGGCTGGGCCAAATGTAATAATTAAAATTTTAAAAATAATGCTGGGCATAAACAGGTAACATGTAATTGGAATAGAGGTTTTTGGAGAGGGAAGAAATGTGCAGATAATCTAAAGTCATTATTAAAGTGCATTTAAGGACATCTGGCCTTTAGTCCAGCTTCTGCCTACCTAGCAGTTTGGAAAATAAAAATAAAAATAAAAAGGAAAGGAAGTCACTGGAAGAGTCAAGTGTTAAGGGTGTATGGCAAAAAAAGAATCCATCGAATAGAACTTTTCAGAAGCAGGTTTGTCAACCATCTACCCCACCATCCTACAACCTGGAAACATCCAGATGTGTTAACTACAATACCCATCATCCTCAGGCAGCACATTCAATGGCCTCTATCGAAGGGGTAATGGAAGTTGTACACCAACACATCTGGAGGGCACCAGGTTGGAAAAAGCTGATTTAATCAGTTCGCCAAATGATAATCTGTATTCCTAACAAAACTGTGTGATAAATGAAGTCCACCAGCATCTGTAGAGCCACAGGCCTCCTAATCCATTTCAGTTGCTTAACAGATCAAAAGAGTTTCCAATACTCACATGCATGACACTCTGCCATTCATTACAATGCTTCTATCGTCACATAGCTGAGGGATTCTGTAAATGCTGTGCAATCTTTTGAAGGCACTCTTCTTACAATCAGATAGTTGAAAGTATCCACTCCAAATCGGCCTCTTCCAAATTGCTGTGGATTAAATTGATGGCTGGTTGGTGTCATTTTGAAACCACTGCATGCATAACTTGGGAAAGTCACCTTTCCTGAACTACAACTTACAGAATCACCATGTCAATATAGCAATGGGGCAGGCAAGCGGGAAGAAGTTTCAGAGCTTTGTGTTGTCTTGAATTCTGACAATGTCTCACTATGCTCACTGTTGCTTAGTCTCAGTTAATTTGAATTGTTGCACAATTTGGGTTTTGTTTGTGTGTAAAAAAGATGACTGTTTATCTTCAAACTGATTTTAATCCAGGGAGTGGCCCAAGAAACAGTTTTAATAGAATGGCTGCAGCACTTTGCTTCCCACTCGCACTTATCATGATGGGGAAATATGTACTCTCGCATGCACATAGTGCAATTCTGTTGAATACAAGATGAAATTTCATCAACACAATCCATTGTTAAACCCACTTCAGTATACCATAAAGGGTGCTAATTCTTCCTTATTTTTATTATTTTAAATTTCATTTTATTGAACTGCAATTACATTTATTGCAACACACATAAACATATAGCTAATAACAAATGAAGCAATCACTCTAAGGATCTATAAAGCACACTACAACACAATGGCTTGCATTGTTAGTTCCATCTAGAATAGACTAACTGAATTAATTACCACACCATTCAACAACTGAGTCAATGAACCTACTGTAGTTGGAACAAGTCAATAGGATTCAACCCATCATTACTAAACTAAAATCAGTATCCTGTCAGTGACATTTATTTATTTACTGTATTTATATACCGCCTTTCTCGCCCCTGAGAAGACTCAAGGTGGTTTACAACATACTAATGGCAAAAATTCAATGCCAACATACCGTACACAAAGAAATCATAATAACTAATTACTGCACATAACTATGACCTTAAAATCAATTCAAACCATTAATTATAAGACATACATAAAATTTAAACATTCAGACAAAGCATAAAATCATCATAGCAGCAACATTAAAATCCTATGATCCAGAAATTGTATACCATAGTCATTCCGAATTGCCATGTTCCTTAATTTTTCTTTGTACTGCATTATTTATTAGCCAAAGGCTTGATCCCACAACCACATCTTTGTTCTCTTTCTAAAGGTTATGCGGGAGGGCGCTGATCTAATTATTATTATTATTATTATATTATTATTATTATAACTTTATTTGTACCCCGCTAGCATCTCCCGAAGGACTCGATGCGGCTTACATAGGCCAAGGCCTCAAAACACAATACAACAATACAATACCTAAAGCAAAATAAAAACAGTTAAGCAGTATGAACAACAACAATAAAAACAATACATCAAGACACTATAAAACTGGGCCGGGCCAGAGTAATGGGTACAAGATTAAAAGTGCTGATGTGGCAGGAGGTATGCAGGATTATAAGTAAGTGCAGTGTGCAGAGTGCAGCAATCTTAATTCTACTAAAGTGCTTCTAGGACTTGGTATTGGAGATTCCTAATCTGAGAAGGCACATCGGAATAGCCAGGTCTTCAAGTTCTTTCTGAAGATTGCCAATGTAGGGGCCTGTCTGAGATCTTTTGGGAGGGCGTTCCAGAGTCGGGGAGCTGCCACAGAAAAGGCCCTGTCTCGAGTCCCCACCAAGCACGCTTGCGACGCAGGCGGGATCACGAGCAGGGCCTCCCCAGATGACCGAAGTGATCGTGTGGGTTCGTAGATGGAGATGCGGTCATGCAGGTAGGGTGGTCCCAAACCGTTCAGGGCTTTGTAGGTAAGCACCTGCACCTTAAATTGGGCTCGGAAAATAAACGGCAGCCAGTGGAGCTCCTTGAACAGGAGGGTTGACCTCTCTCTGTAATGAGCCCCGGTTAACATCCTGGCTGCTGCCCATTGGACCAGTTGGAATTTCCGAGCCATTTTCAAGGGCAGCCCTATGTAGAGCGCATTGCAGTAGTCCAATCTAGAGGTGACCAAGGCATGGACCACCCCAGCCAGATCATTGGGGAGGGAGTTCCAGAGCCAAGGAGCCACTACTGAGAAGGCCCTGTCTGTCATCATTTATATGCTTTAGTACAGTCTAGTAGGCTTGTGTACAGATTCATTTTGGCCAGTTCCCTTCGGCTAATCTGGCTGGTCCGGCTTGTTCGGGGGGATGTAATGGCAAGGGCTCAGCCTTCATGTTTTTTTTCGGCCTCAACAGAACAGTAGCTGTCAAATACCGGCTGCTTTTGGTTACAAGTGGAGTGCAGGAGGGAGGCAACCGCTAGAAGGAAAAGAGAGGGCTTTTTAAAAGAAAACCAGGATAGGGTAGCTCTAGGTCATCGCTGTTCCTTATCTGGAAGTGGGAAGCCTCCTCATAATGCTTTGGAAAGAGTGCATGGTGTGCTGCAGGCCCAGGAGAGAAAGCATGTGCGCTCTCTGCAGCACCTCTCCTCTAGAATAGAAATAGCTTTAAGAAGCCTCCTTAAAATGCCTTGGAAAGAGTGAGTGGCATGCTGCAGGCCCGGGAGAGAAAGTACACACTCCTCTAGAGTACAAACAGCTTTAACAAAGCACTGAACCTGGTCTCCTCTAAAGACAGAAGGGAAAGGATCGCAGAAAGAGTGATCTTCTAATCCAAGTCTTAATGAAGGATATGAAGACAGACAATGTCTAAAACAATGGGAAGGGGAGCCTGGGAAGTCCCCCTACATACACATAATGGACCGGATAAAAAACTAATCTTTCGGCTTCCCAGATCAAATACAGAGTTCTGTCTTCCCAATTCATGAGGCTCCCAAAAAACAGATTAGGACCCCCACCAAAATCTGGGACACCAAAACAGATCACGGTTTACCTGGATTGCACAAGCCTACAGTCTTATCTATGCATAAATCCTTTTTTGGATAGGGTGCAGAGGTCTGTTCAGCCTTAGGAAGGGTTTCTGCTGTTGCCTTTTATGGGTGGGGAGGGAAAAGAGAACGAACATGATGTAAACAGCAAAGACTATCTTCAGTTTGCTGTATTAAGGTGACATGTACATTTTCAAACCCCAACAGAGAAGTACCTGCCTGACATTCAAAAGCTCTAAGAGGCAATTAGTGGATCAGGAGAGGATCGGAGCAAAGTGGAAGTGCCTTGGCTCCAGGAGAAAAAGTGATCACATCTACTGACAAGATTGCACAGCTATAGCAGATGCCAGACAATGGGAAAACCTTTCCTTGTTCCATTATATCTCTACAAGACAGACCAAGCTGTGGTGATTTTATATAGAATGGCTATTTAAAGCCAAATCCCACATTTTGACAGATTCATTCATAAACATCTGTGTGGCAAGACGCCAGGAGAAGTGCTTCATCTGTCTGCGTTCACTGGAACTTCTAGCTTGGAAAGGTTCCTTCCCTCCCTTCCCCTTGTGTATTGCTAGGCAGAACAAATGTGATCATCTTTTAAACCATCCTTGTGCTTTCATGTGGTATTTTGGCATATTGGTGCCTGAAGTATCCTTAATTGTTGTTATAATAATACCATGGGCATCCTTTGGCTGGAAACCGCATTCTCCAGCTTAAGCGCCTTCAATTCCCATTACTAGCAGGATAACTGAAATTCCTCAGCAATCCCATATTTGTAGCAATTTATTCTAAATCATATTACTCAAGGGAGAAATGTGCGCAAGAGTTTAGAATAATTATTATCTTGCTGGAAATGTGCAAAGATTTAATTCCAAAATGGTTCTTACGGATGAAATCCTTAATGAAATATATAGTGTTGACATTCTGGACCATTTGTTATGGTTTTTCAGAACATTTTGAGTCTCTCATCTGGAGGGAATTATTTGGCACATCTCTATCCTGGTGTCCCTGCTCAAGTAGACAAGAATTTCATTGTTGCCTTTGATATACAGTGGATCCTTAAATGCTTTGCTGCAAATCCTGCCGCACATCAAAAGACAATGGAAATCAATGGGCTAAATCCAATGTTAGTCTCACCTAGAGAAAACACACTGAAATGAATGAAACAGTGCATCTGCTTTAGCTAGGATGATTCTAGTGAGATTTCCATCAAAGGCCTGTGTCTAGTCTAGTCAAATAAAAATTAGGAGGACACCATGTGTTTTCAGATCCTGATGTTGAAAATATCTCTGACCGCTCTGATTTAATCATCTGTAGAAATGTATATCCAAAGCAGAATTTGTTTCCATACAGCATCCATCGCCTTTAAAATTATGCCATACTGTGAAATATGTTTATTTATTTATTTATCAGACTAAGGGTGAATTTGAATTTGTTGTATTTGAAAAATCTTTCTAATAAAAACTATTTATATATATAAAAAAGGAGCAGACTAAGGGTACAGTTGTTATATATTTAAAAACACCAAGTTTAGAAACTTGGCATTATATTAAATGTCCTTTGACCAGTAGATGGCCGCTTGGAGTACTTCTGGTGTTGCTATAAGGAGGTCCTCCACTGTGCATGTGGCAGGTCTCAGACTGGATTGTAATAAGTGGTCTGTGGTTTGCTCTTCTCCACACTTGCATGTCATGGTACCTGAGCGCAGTCTGTTCAATGCCTTCCAAGTCACCCAGTCTTCTGTATGCCCAGACGGGAGTCTATCATTTGGTATCAGCCATGGGTTGAAGTTCCAGGCTTTAGCCTGCCACTTTTGGACTCTTGCTTGCTGAGGTGTTCTTGTGAGTATCTCTGTAGATCTTAGAAAACAAATTTCTTGATTTAAGGCATTGGTGTTCTGGTTGATATCTGAACAGGGGGTGGGCTGGAGATGTCACTACCTTGATCCTTTCATTATTGGCTGCTACTTCCTGGCAGATATCAGATGGTGCAATACCGGCTAAGCAGTGTAATTTCTCTAATAGTGTAGGGCACAAATATCCTTTGATAATGCGGTATGTCTCATTAAGAGCCACATCCACTGTTTTAGCGGGTTGAGATGTGTTCCACCATACAATACTATATAATACCACATGTTTTAGTTACATTGTGTGGATCTTCTTGAGGCTAATATATATTGCCA